AATTATTATCATAATAATCATTATTATCATTATTATCATTATTGATCATTATTATCTTTATTATCATTATTATCATTATTATCATTATTATCATTATTATCATTATTATCATTATATCATTATTATCTTATTATCATTAATATCATTATTATCATTATTATCATTATTATCATTATTACTATTATTATCATTATTATCATTATTATCATTATTATCATTATTATCATTATTATCATTATTATCATTATTTTATCATTATTATCATTATTATCATTATTATCATTATTATCATTATTATCATTATTATCATTATTATCATTATTATATTATTATCATTATTATCATTATTATCATTATTATCATTATTATCATTATTATCATTATTATCATTATTATCATTATTATCATTATTATCATTATTTCATTATTATCATTATTATCATTATTATCATTATTATCATTATTATCATTAATTATCATTATTATCATTATTATCATTATTATCATTATTATCATTATTATCATTATTATCATTATTATCATTATTATCATTATTATCATTATTATCATTATTATCATTATTATCATTATTATCATTATTATCATTATTATCATTATTATCATTATTATCATTATTATCATTATTATCATTCATTATCATTATTATCATTATTATCATTATTATCATTATTATCAATTTATTATCATTATTATCATTATTATCATTATTATCATTATTATCATTATTATCATTATTATCATTATTATCATTATTATCATTATTATCATTATTATCATTATTATCATTATTATCATTATTATCATTATTATCATTAATATCATTATTATCATTATTATCATTATTATCATTATTATTATCATTATTATCATTATTATCATTCATTATATCATTAATATCATTATTATCATTATTATCATTATTATCATTATTATCATTTATTATCATTATTATCATTATTATCATTATTATCATTATTATCATTATTATCATTATTATCATTATTATCATTATATCATTATTATCATTATTATCATTATTATCATTATTATCATTATTATCATTATTATCATTATTATCATTATTATCATTATTATCATTATTATCATTATTATCATTATTATCATTATTATCATTATTATCATTATTATCATTATTATCATTATTATCATTATTATCATTATTATCATTATTATCATTATTATCATTATTATCAATATTTATCATTATTATCATTATTATCATTATTATCATTATTATATATCATTATTATCATTATTATCATTATTATCATTATATTATCATTATTATCATTATTATCATTATTATCATTATTATCATTATTATCATTATTATCATTATTATCATTATTATCATTATTATCATTATTATCATTATTATCATTATTATCATTATTATCATTTATCATATATCATTATTATCATTATTATCATTTATTATCATTATTATCATTATTATCATTATTATCATTATTATCATTATTATCATTATTATCATTATTATCATTATTATCATTATTATCATTATTATCATTCATTATCATTATTATCATTATTATCATTATTATCATTATTATCATTATTATCATTATTATCTATCATTATTATCATTATTATTATTATTATCATTATTATCATTATTATCATTATTATCATTATTATCATTATTATCATTATTATCATTATTATCATTATTATCATTATTATCATTATTATCATTATTATCATTATTATCATTATTATCATTATTATCATTATTATCATTATTATCATTATTATCCATTATTATCATTATTATCATTATTATCATTATATCATTATTATATTATTATCATTAATATCATTATTATCATTATTATCATTATTATCATTATTAATCATTATATCATTATTATCATTATTATCATTATTACATTATTATCATTATTATCATTATTATCATTATTATCATTATTATCATTATTATCATTATTCATTATTATCATTATTATCATTATTATCATTTTAATATCATTATTATCATTATTATCATTATTATCATTATTATCATTATTATCATTATTATCATTATTATCATTATTATCATTATTATCATTATTATCATTATTATCTTATTATCATTATTATCATTATTATCATTATTATCATTATTATCATTATTATCATATTATCATTATTATCATTATTATCATTATTATCATTATTATTCATTATTATTATTATTATTATTATTATTATTATTATTATTATATTTATTATTATTATATTATTATTATTATTATTATTATTATTATTATTATTATTATTTATTATTATTATTATTATTATTATTATTATTATTATTATTATTATTATTATTATTATTATTATTATTATTATTATTATTATTATTATTATTATTATTATTATTATTATTATTATTATTATTATTATTATTATTATTATTATTATTATTATTATTATTATTATTATTATTATTATTATTATTATTATTATTATTATTATTATTATTATTATTATTATTATTATTATTATTATTATTATTATTATTATTATTATTATTATTATTATTATTATTATTATTATTATTATTATTATATTATTATTATTATTATTATTATTATTATTATTATTATTATTATTATTATTATTATTATTATTATTATTATTATTATTATTATTATTATTATTATTATTATTATTATTATTATTATTATTATTATTATTATTATTATTATTATTATTATTATTATTATTATTATTATTATTATTATTATTATTATTATTATTATTATTATTATTATTATTATTATTATTATTATTATTATTATTATTATTATTATTATTATTATATTATTATTATTATTATTATTATTATATTATTATTATTATTATTATTATTATTATTATTATTATTATTATTATTATTATTATTATTATATATTATTATATTATTATTATTATTATTATTATTATTATTATTATTATTATTATTATTATTATTATATTATTATTATTATTATTATTATTATTATTA